AGGTCTAGGGTAGCACCCCTTAATCAAATATCTACGTTAATATTTCTGTAGCAAAATGAATGGATATTCACACTAAATGGGATAAATAAAGACTGTAAGTGGCCCCTCATGAGTTCAGGAAAGTGTTGCCACAAAATGAGTTAGGGAAAAGAACTTAAGGTTTTCAGAGCTTTTGGGGTACTCAGCTTGGAGACAAGGGGTTGTAGATATGTGAACAAAGTACTTTTAGGCTGCCTGAGGTACTCCAAAAACCTCTCTTGACATACAATTGACAAGTTTATTATTGATACTATTTTCTCCTAAGTGAAGCTAGTCCAGGCCAGGCACAGTGGCTCCCACCTGTAATCTCAGCACTTTGGGAAGCTGAGGTGGGAGGATCATCGCTTGAGTCCAGGAGTTTGAGGTTGCTGTGAGTTATGATGACACCACTGCTGTCTAACCTGGGTGACAGAGTAAGACCCCATCTCAAAATAAAACAAAACAAAGCTAGTCCAGAAGGAGTTCCTAGTTATCATTTGTGCTTTATGAAGTAGTCTATAGTTTTGAGCATATGAGATGGTCCAGTGAAACCCCCTGACTGGCCTAACTAAACAGAGGGAAGTCGGGTTTATTCAGGCTGCCCACCGCCCACCTCTGGCTTATTCTTCTCTCTGTGCCTTTGTTCACCAGCACTCCCCCCACCCCCCCAGGGTGCCTTTCCTTTTCCCTGTTCTTTTGGGCCCTAGTTTAAGTTATACCTTTGCTACAGTCCTCTCTCCAGTGTCTCAGACCATCTTCCCTTCTCTGACCACCTATTTCTCCTAGAATCCAACTGTTTTATGCACATTTATGAGCTTTTCTTTCACAACAAGATTATAAGCTCCTTGAAGAACAGAAACTACACTGTATACTTGTTCCGTATCCCCTTGTTGCAATATTTCTGTAAGGCAATAAGAGGAACTTCGTAAAACCAAAACAGGAGCTTTGGGGTTCAAGTAAATTTGAGAAGTGTTGCCTGGTTTATTTGCTTCTCGGAGATTTGCTTTGCATATTGACCTATTAAAGGCTTCGAGAAGGCTTCCTGTAAAAAATAAACCATTTTAGCCTTGTCTCCCTTGCATTTCCCATACACATTTGGCCTCAGATCTCCCTTTTTCACTAGGAATGTCCTGCCCATCTTGTGTTCTGCTCATTTGCTCCATAGTAATTAGCACTGGGCTAACGAGAGTAGTCAGTAAGTGACTATAAATCAACTGGTGAGGCATTCCCTCTTTCTCGTTTATTCTGTATGTACGTTTATTTAATGGAGCCCTTTTCATAGGAAGTGTCAAGACAAAAGTGCCCTCATTTAGATCAAAACAAATTCTAAATTAATGAGGTCATGGCATTTTACTGCATTTAGTTTTTTGATTTATCTCTGTAGTTCCCAAACCTGTGAATAGGCTGTTACAAACAGCCCTGTACTAACTCCAAGGCCGGAAGAAAACCCTGCATCATTTCAAGAAGTTCTAAAGAACAGTTGACATTTATAGAGAGCTGGCTGGGTTGGGTGTGAGGTTTCCAGGGTGGGTAGAAGGAGAAGTGGGACTTCTGTAGTTTGTGAAGTTTTATTTTCCAAACTTAGTCCCTCAGTTTTTCTTCCCCTATTTGTGTTCAAGGGCAAGAACTATACACAGGACATGGAATCTGCTCTGAGCCCATTTTAGTTTAGAATAAACTTAGGACCTCTGGGTCCCAAGGAGTAGATTCCATGGGAGAGACGCGCTGTAGACTTGGTGATCTGTAGTTTGAAATGACCGCCTTTCTTTTCTTTAAAATTAATATCTTGCAAACACAGTTTGCAAAGCTTCTTTACAAAAATTTCACTGGATCCTCACAGTCACTTTTTTTTTTTGAGTTAGGGTTTTGCTCTACTGCCTGGGCTAGAGTGCAGTGTGATTATAGCTCTCAAACTCCTGGGCTCAAGCCATCCTCCCGCTTCAGCCTCCTGAGTATCTGTGGCTACAGCTGTGCGCCACCATGAGTGGCTGATTTTTCTATTTTTGGTAGAGATGGGGTCTCGCTCTTGCTCAGGCTGGTCTCAAACTCCTAACCTCAAGTAATCCTCCCGCCTCAGCCTCTCAAAGTGCTAGGATTACAGGCATGGGCGATTGTGCCTGGGCCACGGTCACTTTTTAAAAAAAACATGGTTACCATAAAGAAAAAATAAAAAAATAAAAAAAAAACAAAACAAAACATGGTTTAGGTATTAATATTAATCACATTTTATAGATGAATAAACTGAGGCTGCAACTTACTTAAAGTCACATTGTCATCATCTTTTGGTTCCTGTAAATTAGACAGCTGTAAGCATGTTCTTGCTGGCCTAAGAAAGAAAGTTGCAAATGTCAGCTAGCATCCCTCCCCAACTCACCTCACTATCTAATAGAGGGAAAATGTGATGTTAATGGAATTGTCAGCTGTGATGTCTTCAGGCTATGTCTTTTGAGTGACTATTTCACCACAGGGATATTTAAAGGGTGCTCCATCTTGGTCTGGGGCCCATCCAGGTTTGGTGTTGCTCTTGGCCTTATTCTTGGCATTTGGGACCCTGCATGGTTTTTTATTTCACCTCCAGCTTTAGCTGTTTTTCTCCTGTTCTATTAGGTAAGGATTTCCTGCCTCAGACCTCAGATTCTGATCCCCTTCTTAGCCCATCCGCTGGTGTAGCCAGTCCTCTTCCAAGACCAGGAAGGAGGTGAAAGAGCTGTTGAAGCCAGGACATAAACTCAGATCTTGTGATTCTGAGCTATCTTCCCCTTTTGTCCTGCCATGTGACAGGGGCTGCTCCAGCCAGAACCTCCAGTGAGCCCCAATAAAGGAAAGAGCTGGAATGCACAATGGCATTTGTTCTGTCCCATCCCTGCATATCAGCATGGGCAGGGAGGCTTTGCTTCAGCTTTCTTTCAAGGACTTTGATAAGGAAAGACATCTATCAGCAAAGAGCTAAGGTTTCGAGGGAAGTGAATCAGTCTGAGATAAGTAAACAAAAGAGCTTTGAGTCTGGTTTCCCTGTTTGCTTCTGTCCCCTACAGGAGAGAATATGTCATGACCAGAGACCTGTGAGTCCTGAAAGAAAGTGTTGGGAATAAAATATTGATAGTAGTGAGGGAACTGGAGTCCTAGTCCAGGTTCCCTTGTTGTTCAGCCCGGACATGGTACTGGGTATTGCAGCCTTGCCTGCACCCTCGGAGGAGATGTCTAGGGGACAGTGTGCCCAGGCCCATTTCTACCACACCGAGACCTTATGATGGCTGGTGCCCTCATGATTTAATAGGTTATCAGCAACTTGTGAATCATGTCCCCATTTCCTTGATAATGGTACTTATTGATTATAGACTTAAGGATATTAGTGCCTTTGTCTCTCTTAATTATGACATGATATAATAACTCAGTTTTTTTCACCCTTAACTGTAGGCTAGGCAAAGGAATAAAGTAAGTAGCCTAACTACATCTTAAGTAATGGTGATTATCATTTCCTTTTACTGATAGGAGAGGTCAAAGGACTTACCTGGTGAATTTTTTATCTAACGATGTGTGCAAATCACTCCAAAACTTAGTGGCTTAAAACAACAATGCTAATTTAACTACATCTCGCACAGTTTCTGTGGGTCAGGAATTTGGGAGCAGCTCAGCTGGGCTGTGCCGGCCCAGAGTCTCTAGTAAGGTTGTGGTCAAAAGTCAGCTGGGGCCATCTGAAGGTGTGACTGGGTTTGGAGGATCCACTGCTAAGGTGGTCACTCACACAGCTGGGAAGTTGGTCTGGCTGTTGGTGGGAGGCCTGAGTTCTTGTTCTTGTGGGCCCCTCCAAGGGATTGCTTGAGTGTTCTCACGACATGGCAGCTGCTTCCCCTAGAATGAGCCATTCAAAAGAGAGAAAAAGCGAGCCAGGTGGAAGCTGTATTGTTTTTGTGATCTAACTCTGGTGCTCACATATTATCACCTCTGCCACATTCCATTCAAATTACAGGCATGCGCCACCATGCCCAGCTCTGTTTTCTTAAGGTCATACAGCCTAAGACGTGGTAAGATCAGCATTAGAAGGCAGGCATGTCTGACATAACATCTGCTCTTTCTTTTTTCTTTTTTTTTATTTTTTATTTTGGCATATTATGGGGGTACAGATTTTAAGGTTTCAATAAATGCCCATTTCCCCCCCTCCCCCCACAAGTCTGAGTCTCCAGCATGACCATCTCCCAGATGGTGCACATCTCACTCATTAACATCTGCTTTTTCTACTACCTTACACTGCCTCTTGAGGCAAAGTCAAGCCAGGATTCCCAGAAACCAAGAGAAAACTCTCTGGGGCACTGTACTGGGAATCTTGGCAAGGGCTCACATTGCTCTGTCAGAGGTCACTCTGGGAGGCAGGTCATAGGAGAACTGAGAGTCTGGAGATGGACACGACTAGGGCTTCCGTCCCACACCACAGCAGGGGGTGTGTGAGGAAACACGTGATCTGTGCCACCATTTCTGCAGCCGTCTGCATCTAGATTTGGATCTGCACTCTGCAAAGGCATCCATCCTATGTACGTGTGTGTGCTTTCATTGTAAGAAAGAGGCTTTTGAAAAGTCCCCAACTTTGTTTGGGTTGAAGAGAAAAAGAGTTTGTTCTCCCTGGGGTTGACTGGCCTAGAGTGGGCTCAGCCTGTGCCTGTGGCCAGGTGTGGTGGTAGCAGCAGCCAGCACTAGGTGGCAGCACTAGGTGGCAGCACTAGGAGGCAGCACTAGGTGGCAGCACTAGGCAGTGGAGTAGCAAGGGACAGGTCTAATGGGGATTTGAGACATGAAAATCACATCTTTCATGTTTCAGGTGGATCCTACCCCTCCTGCCCAGGACTTGGGTCCCTCAGAATATTACCCAAAAGCAGAAATAGGTAAATAATGGAGATTAGACCATGGCTAGGATTCCTACCTGCTTCCTCCTGAGCTTTTCTCACTCCAGAATTGTTTTCCACATTTGTTGGTTTTGTTTTCTCCAGAGGTTCTTCGGGACACCTTCACTTCCCTGGGCTACGAAGTCCAGCATTTCCCGTATCTCAGAGTGGCTGATATAATCCGGATTCTTCACCAAGTTGCCCTTATGCCCCAACACCAAGACTACGACAGCTTTGTGTGTGTCCTTGTGAGCCGAGGGAGCTCCCACACTATGTTCGGGGTGGATCAGACGCACTCAGGGTTCTCCTTGCATCATATCAGGAGGATGTTCATGGGAGATGCATGCCCTTCTCTGGTAGGGAAGCCAAAGCTCTTTTTTATTCAGAACTACATGGTGTCAGAGCACCAGCTGGAGGCCAGCAGCCTCCTGGAGGTGGACGGGCCAGCGGCGAGCAACATGGCATCTGCGGCTCAGAAGCCTGGGCCCAGCAAGCTTCACCCTGAAGCCGACTTCTTCTGGAGCTTGTGTACAGCGGACGTGTCCGTGCTGGAGCGATCCTCCAGCTCCCCATCCGTGTACCTGCAGTGCCTCTCCCAGAAACTAAAGCAGGAAAGGTGAGCCACTCAGGAGGTGGCCAATCCCGGACCACCTGCTTATATTCCTGCCACCAAGAAGGGGGTGACCACTGTGCCATGTTTGATGCCCGCCATTCTCTTCAGGGAGAAAAAGGGATTTTTTCCTGGACCCCCAAGGTTGCCTGAGGAGTATAATATAGACCTACCATGATTTATGAGCACTTTGTGTTAGTTAGCTTGTAGTTTGGATGTTTTTCATCAATATTAAGAAATTGTTGTTTTTTATTACAAAAGTAATACATACTCTTTACAGAAAAAAGTCATAAAATATAGGTGCTGAAAGTAGAATGTAACAAGTAGTTATAATCCTACTTTCTAAAAGCAACTTGTATTAACCAAATCTTGTTGTATGGCCTTCCAGATTTTTTTTTGGATACCCACATAATCCTATATAAGTATGATTTTAAATCCCAAATCGAATCATCATCTACTATTACTTCATAATTTGCTTTTAGTTCATTTAGTGGTAGATCACAAACATTTTTGCACGTTAGTGATCATATTTATGCAGGATCATTTTAATGTCTGCACAGTAGCCCATAATAAGCCTGCAGCTTAATTTCCATGATCAATCTTTGATTGTTGGATAGTGTTTTGCTTTCATACAAAGAAAGTATAATCTTTGCAGTTTATACTTAATTGTTTTCTTGTGGGAAATTCCCAGAAGTGGAATTACTGAGTCCAAGGAAATACATTTTTCAAGATTGGATGCATCTTACCAGAATGACCTCTGGGATGGTCATATTAGTTTCACATGAGAGTGGCCGCATCCCTGAATTCTCACCAACACTGCATGCTCTTATATTTCCCCAAGTTTTGACATTCTGATAGGTGAAAAGTGGTACCTGACTTTCCAGGTCTGCAAGTCTTTGTTATATAAACTTTTTTTTTTTTTTTTTTTTTTTTTTTCAGAGTCTCACTTTGTTGCCCAGGCTAGAGTGAGTGCCGTGGCGTCAGCCTAGCTCACAGCAACCTCAAACTCCTGGGCTCAAGTGATCCTTCTGCCTCAGCCTCCGAGTAGCTGGGACTACAGGCATGTGTCACCATGCCTGGCTAATTTTTTTGTATATATATTAGTTGGCCAATTAATTTCTTTCTATTTATAATAGAGACGGGGTCTCACTCTTGCTCAGGTTGGTTTCAAACTCCTGAACTCAAACGATCTGCCCGCCTCGGCCTCCCAGAGAGCTAGGATTACAGGCGTGAGCCACCGCTCCTGGCCTATATAAACATTTTTTTATGTTTATTGGCAAGAATATTTTCTAAGGGGAACATCAGTGTCTTGGTTTTCATTTAAGCTGAATGAAGCCACACTGTACCTCAAGTAGAAGATTAACTGGCCTTATTCACCTGCCCCTGAATTATAATTAGAGTGATGTTTCTGAGCCACCTATCAATGCATTCTGGGCTGTAGCTCTGAGGACCCTGGGAATAAATCTCATAGCCTTCTCTCCCCACCTCCTCAGTAGTGACTCAGTGGGAAGGGGAGGGCTAGAGCAGGAGCCACTCAGCTTCCAAGGTCAGTGCTCCACCGGCCAGTGGTATTATTGGCCTTTTACACCCATTCTGCATTTGCATAGACAACCCAGGTAGGTTAGCATGTGCCTGGTATGTTCCCAGCGTAGTAAAACTCAGCTGTTCCTTGATGTAGAGGACAGTGGCCCCTGGGCCAGAGTCCTGTGAACTAGTTTGGATCATTCACAGAGCAGTTTGTGGAGCATTTAGAAAGGAACGGTTGCAAAACACTTTCACATTTCTTGGCTCATTTCACCCTACTGACAATCTGTCTTCTCTTTGATATTTACATGGCATTAAATTTTGTCTTCTTTATTTCCTACAGAAAACGCCCACTCCTGGATCTCCACATTGAACTCAATGACAAGGTGTATGATTGGAATAGCAGAGTTTCTGCTAAGGAGAAATACTATGTCTCGCTGCAACACACGCTGAGAAAGAAGCTCATCTTTTACAAATGAAAGATCAAAAGTCTTTCTCAGTCCTGCAATCTTGGGGTGCGGGGGGAGAGAGAGAGAAAGAGAAAAGAGAGAGAGAGAGAGATAGGAGAGAGTGAGAAAGAGACAGGAGAGAGAGAGTGAAGAGAGAGAGAAAGGAGAAACAAATTCTAATGTGTCTCCTTATAAGGGCACTAATCCCATCCATGAGGGCTCCACCCTTATTACCTTATTACCTCCCAAAGGCCTCACCTTATAATACTATCACATTGAGGATTAGGATATCAACATATGAATTGTGGAGAGATACATTCAGTTTCTAATAGCAGCAGCCTTATGATTTAGATGTTCCTTGTCCATTCATCTAGGGACTCATGAAATTTTACAGCTAATCAAGTATACCTTTCATTCTGTGATTTGGTAGCATAATGTAAAAGAGAACCATTGTTTAAAATGTCATTAGAGGCTGAGCGCAGTGGCTCACCCCTGTAATCCTAGCACTCTGGGAGGCCGAGGCGGGCAGATTGGTCGACATCAGGAGTTCGAAACCAGCCTGAGCAAGAGTGAGACCCTGTCTCTACTATAAATAGAAATTAATTGGCCAACTAACATATATAGAAAAAATTAGCTGGGCATGGTGGTGCATGCCTGAAGTCCCAGCTACTTGGGAGGCTGATTGAGGCAGCAGGATTGCTTCAGCCCAGGAGTTTGAGGTTGCTGTGAGCTAGGCTGATATCACGGCACTCACTGTAGCCAGGGCAACAAAGCAAGACTCTGTCTCAAAAAAATATATATATCATTAGAGTCTGGGTGCAGTGGCTTACACCTGGAGTCCTAGCACTCTAGGAGGCCAGAGGTAGGGGGACTGCTTGAGCTCCAGAGTTCAAGACCAGCCTGTTTCCAATAAAAATAGAAAATTAGCCAGGTGTGGTGAGCCTATAGTGAGCCAGGTGAGCCTATAGTCCCAGCTACTAGGGAGGCTGAGGCAGGAGGATGAGGCTGGGCTGGGAGGATCACTGGAGTCCAGGAATCTGAGGTTACAGTGAAAAGTGATCACAGCATTGTAGCTAGGAACAAACCGAGACTGTCTCCAAAAAAAAAAAAAAAAAAAAAGCTCATTAGAGTTGTTTACTATTATTTATTTATTTTCATATGTTTTAAAGCTAGTTTTAACTGATGAGCATCTGTGTTTATATTTGTATAAATTTTGCTATGATCACAGGACCAGGCTGAAAAGAGTAAAAGGAGCAGTTTTTAGACACAATAGGAAATTATTTCTATTTTAAAAGTTAGTTTGCTTTTGTTGTTTTAATGAGTGGAGGACTCCTGAGGATAATATTTTTCTTTTTGTTTTATTCTATATTTACACTATATTAACGAGGAAACTGAGGTATCTTGGTTCAGGGGCTCTAGTGGGATGCAAAGTGATATATTGTCTTTATGAACCAGAACTCCATGTTAATTATTACAGAAGGAAAGCATTTCAAAGGGATCTTAATGACCTGGCACCTTTGGTAACCTTCTCTGTCCTATCCAGACTTTATGACCAGTATTTTCCATTTATTCTGGTTCTTACAGTTAACCAAAACAGCAGATTGCTCTTGTAACCTTCTCTGTCCTATCCAGACTTTATGACCAGTATTTTCCATTTATTCTGGTTCTTACAGTTAACCAAAACAGCAGATTGCTCTTGCTTTTGGGGTAGGATCACTGCCACTTTTTCAAGTAACTTGCCTAAAAATGCCATGTATAGCATCTTTGATTCACCCCAAAATTGCAAATATACAAAAAGCCTGTAGTATTTATTTCTCTTTTTAGTTTTATGTATTTATATATTACTAAGATAACCGATAAGTAAAACTTGATACATTTAGCAAACTAAATTTCTATATGTAAATATTGATGATAAATTTAGTCACTTTATTCATTCAACTGAAACCACTAGTCACAAGTCTGATATATTGGATTTTCTGAAATGTTTTGAATATTTGTCAAAAAATGAAGAAACAGAAATAGCATACAATGATTACAAAGCTTATCAGTGCACTTAGTTACAAAAGTATTTGTACAATATATTTAGATTTATTTCTTAATTGTCTTTATATTTCTATTCTTTTTCAGGGTTAGCTCTCAAATTCTCTAAGTTTAGGACAAGCATTGATAGTCTGTGATTCAGGGCTTGAGATACAAGACTGCAATTTGCCTTCCAAGGTTATTTACTACCCGAGTCTATCATCTGATTAGATGATCTGTATTTATAGTTAGATTTTATTTATTGCTTTAATGACATTATCAACAACTTGATATTTTCCACCTTTCCTCTCTACAGCCTCTACATTTTAGCTTTTATTTTCAGATTTGTCCTCTCATGGTCACAAGATGGCCACAGGTCCAAGTATCACACCCAAATGTCCGAAGAGAAAACACCTTCCTTTCATCCCTTCTGAAGTTAAAAGAAAAATTTTCCTGGAAGCCGTCCTACCAAGTGTTACCTTCCCTTACCTCTCATTGGCCACAGTTGCATGACATGTTCATTCTTAAGCCAGTCATTGGCAGAGGCAGTGGAGTTACCATGGTTGGCTTATCCCAATCCAGATTCATTCCCACAGGACTGAAAATGGGTTCAGCCACTCTGAGGCACATGGTCTCCAAAAACTGGGGTTCTGTTAGTAAGAAAAAAGTGGGGCATGGAGCTCCCTTGTGGGGTGGTGAACCATAATGGTGCCAATAGAATAAGAACACCATTTTGTGACTGAAGAAACTGAAGCACACAGCTATTGAGATGGTCCCAAATCTCAGACAGAATCAGTGTTAGTGCAAGTCCAGAATGCTAACAACCAATATTCTGATCTGGCATTCTTTAGAAACTAGAACAAGCATTGCAACTGTGAGATATGCATTACAGGGAAGGCATCTAACACCTCTCTGCTGTTTGTGAGAGTCATTATCCTACCTTTCCAGCCCCTACCCTCTCCCTGAAGAGAGGCAGCATGGCCATATTCCTGGCCTTATCCCATCTGCCTCGTGTGGGGAAAATTCAGATCTTGGCACATCAGCATAGTTTCTTTCCTTCCTTTCCTCTCCTTTCCCTCCTTTAAACAATCATTTATTAAATTATATTGTGTTGTCTGTTTACTCTTGTCACTTTTTTGCCTTTGTATTACATTGTTTTTATTAATACCAGGCATTTGTGGATCCCCAGGTCCCAACGAGAAGAGTGCTAAGTGTTTTCTTTGTGTGTTTTGCTCACTAGCGAGGGCTACGGTGTAGAGTGAAGGGGGTTTGTGATTCCAGGCCCAGGCTGCCCAAATGCGAGGATTGAGGCCTTGCCTTCCCTTCCCTTCCCTACCTCACAGGACTGTTCTGAGGATGAAATGAAGGATCCTTTATGACTGTGCTTTGGTAATGCCATTCAAGTGGCAGCTGCTGCTAATGAGACCACACCATGGAGGGGTTATTTTGGAAAGGTGGAACCAAACCTTGGAAAGTTGACTGGATTTGGGCAGGTGAGATAGAGAAGAGAATATGTTGTAGGAGAGGAAACAAGTCGAGTGAAGAAGCAGACAGGAGGAATACAGGGCATGTTTTAGCAGCCTCGAGTATAACTCCTAGCTGGAGTGAGAAGGTGTGAGTAATGGTGTACAGTGAGCAGGAGATGGCTGTGGTCAGAGTGTGGAGAGCCTTGAAGGTCCCATCTTTGTCCTTTAGCTATTTATCTTATTTTAATAGAATCTTTGATTCTTTCTTTGACACTTTTGTACACGAACGTTTGATTATTGAATGCTTTTCTTATTTTTCACTGAGTGTAGTTTTTAGTGAAATATTTTAGACACATGGAAAGAAAATTATAAATACATAACAAGATGGCTGGGCGCGGTGGCTCACGCCTATAATCCTAGCTCTCTGGGAGGCCAAGGCGGGTGAATTGCTCGAGGTCAGGAGTTCGAAACCATCCTGAGCAAGAGCGAGACCCTGTCTCTACTAAAAATAGAAGGAAATTAATTGACCAACTAAAAATATATAGGAAAAATTAGCCAGGCAGGGTGGTACATGCCTGTAGTCCCAGCTACTTGGGAGGCTGAGGCAGAAGGATTGTTTGAGCCCCGAAGTTTGAGGTTGCTGTGGGCTAGGCTGACGCCACAGCACTATAGCCTGAGTAACAGAGCGAGACTCTGTTTCAAAAAAAAAAATAGATAACAAGATGATGAATTCCTGTATACCCACAACTCAGCTTAAATAAAATGTTCTAAAATATACACTAAGACTCTTAAGACATTTCTTTAAGGCAATAGTCCTAAATATAAAATAGATAAATGCACTAAAATATTTCAAACTTTATAATAGCCCAATACTAATAATTGGCCAAGTGCTCAGTACTAGGGACATGGTTATGATGAAATGTTCACTGGTTGGAATTTTATGTAGCCATTAAAATGGTATGTACAAATAATAATAGCTTATATTAATTGTGCTGTTATTAGCTCATTTTGCATGAATTATCTCATTTACTCCTCAGAACAGCCCTATTAGGTAGGTATTATTGTCCTCATGTTTATTTTTTCCCACTTTAGAGATGAGGAAAATGAGGCCCAGTGAGGTTAAGTAGCGTACCCATGGTCACCCACACTAGGATATGAACTCAAGCCGTAAGGAGAGTCGCTTCGGGGCCCATATGCTTAACCAGCTCACAATATGACCTCCACAAAGAATGTTATAACATCCTATGTTAATGTTACCTGAAAAAGGCAGAGTACCAAATGGTATATCTAGCATGTTTATAGTATCTGTTTAAAATAAAACAAAATACCTCTCACAGGAAAAGAAGGGGCCAGAAAGAAATATGCCAAAAGTGGTATAGGGATGTCAGAACCAAGGCTGATATTTTTTTTTTTTTTCTGTTTTCTAAATTCTTGTCTAAATCTGTGTATGGGAGAACATTCGTTTCTACAGTAAAGCCTAGTCCATTCTCTTCAAATTTTGACTAGTTGCTTCCTCACTGCTAACGAAACTGCGTTTCCCTTCTTGTCTTCACTCCTGTCTCATCCTTGGCTCATCTTTTCAGTAGCAGGGCCCCTGCCTTCAGGACGGTTCCTCTGAGGCGCTGGTTGTGAGTACTGGCTGCTCGATTCCAACTCCATTCCA